CACTAAGCCCTTGGGAATGTAAAATCTGGTTCTTAAGAGCTAATAAAAGTAGGTTATTAAACTAGGCTGCCTTTGTAAATACCCAGAAGACAATGTGATCCCTCTGGTACCAACATGAATGGTAAGAGAAAGAAGCAAATTGTATTAGCAATATTTGGAAATGTAAATTGGCAGACAGTCAAAGTAATTAATCAGTGCCCTGATTCTCATGATAAATTTTATAGTATCTGGTTACTGTAATACTAATTATCTCATCTCTGCAATGGGAGTGTATATTTATTGATAAGGTTGCTTGTTAACTGACTTGGAAATTTGTATAAAACCTAAATCAGGCCTAGTGTCATGACACACACCTGTAATTCCAGCAATTCACGAGGCTGAGGCAGGAGGATCACAAATTCAAGGAAAGGCTTAACAAGTTAGAGAGAGCCTGTCTCAAAATAAAAATAAAAGGAGCTGGAGATGTAATTCAGTGGTAAAGCACCCCTAGGTTTTATTCCCCCATACCAAAAACAAACAAGCAAACACTATCATTTTAACTTTTTAAAAAAGATTTTATTTTATTTTTTGCAGTACTAGGGATTGAACCCAATACCATGCTAGGCAAGCACTCTATCCTGAGCCACATCTCCTGTCCAACTTTGTTCTTTAAATGTGAATATCAGGTTCCCTAGCATCATTTGTTAAAACTGGTTCATTTTTTTATTCAATGGTCTCTGCATCTTTATGAGAGCTCATTTCTGAGCTCTCTGTCCTGGTCCACGTGCATTTGTTATATCCGTATATGTTTTTCTTTATATCATTACCACACTCTTTTGATTACAGTATTAAATTTTGAAATAGAGAAGTATTGGTCCTTCAACTTTTTAGTTTTTAAGATTGTTTTGTCTGTTTGGGACCCTATGAAATTCCATTTGAATTTTAGGATGGATTTTTCTATTTCTGAAAAAAAATAATAATTGGGATTTTGCTGGAATTGCCACAAATCTGCAGATTGCTTTGAGTAGTATTAAGATCTTAAGTATATTTATTATAGTTGCACATCCATATCTACATATCTTTAACTTCTTTTTGAAGTGTTTTATAGTTTTCATTATACAAGTCTTTCGCCTCCTTGGTTAACTCCTGAGTGTTTTAATGTTTTTGATCAATTGTAAATAAAATTGTTTTGTTAGTTTCCTTTTCAGACTATTCATTATTAATATATAGAAACACAATTTTTGTGTGTTAATCCAACAACTTTCTTAGATTCATCTGTTAGTTCTAAGAATATTTTTATAGGATCTTTGGGATTTGGGGAGTAGGAGGCTTGTGGCTGAGGATTGAACCCAGGGCCTTGCACATGCTAAGGAAGAGCTCTACCACTAAGCAATACCTCTAACCCAGGATTTTCTATATGTAAGATCATGTCTTCTGTGATCAGAGATGACTTTACTTGTTCCTTTCAATTTGAATTTTTTCTTGCCCATTACAACTTCCAATAAGATAAAAGCAACTAGCCAGCATTGTCTTATTTCTTAATCCTCTCTCTTTCACTTTTTTTCCCCCCAGGGATTGAACCCAGGGTCACTTAAACACTGAGCCGCATCCCTGGCCCTTTTCTTTTGTTCTGTTTTGAAACAGAGTCTCACTAAGTCCTTAGGTCCTTGCTAAATTGCTGAGGTTGGTCTCAAACTTGGAATCCTGCTGCCTTAGCCTCCCAAATGGCTGGGATTACAGGCATTCGCCATCACGCCCAGCAATCCTCTCATTTTTTAAATGTGGCTCTCAGAGGGAAATTTATTTGCCCAAAGTTATACAACTTCATAACAAATCAGGAATTGGTTTTCAAGTCTCTGAACTTCTGGCCACATATTCTTTCCATGATATAGAGTTGCCAAGATTAAGGATGACTGGTTATGGAAAGGAGGCAACATTATTCACTTATTTTAATTAAGATCACATCAATGAATGTTGATAAATGATGTTGTTGAGGATATAGTTCAGTATTACAGAATATTTGGGTTTGTAACTGAATTATTATATCTAATGCATGTAACCTAAATGTTTGCGTAAGTTTTAGGTTGTCATTTTTCTCTTTATTTCTTCAGTGCAGTCACACTTGGAACTGATATGTTGGAATTGGACTGCCATATCACAAAAGATGAACAAGTTGTAGTATCACATGATGAGAACCTGAAGAGATCAACTGGGGTCAATGTAAACATCTCTGATCTCAAATATTGTGTAAGTAAAAATGAATGATAAACTAATGTCTAGTATATATTAGGATAAAGTGTTTTTTTAGTGTTTTAAAAATTGTTGATGGACCTTTACTCATTTATTAATTTATTTTTATGTGGTTCTGAGAATCGAGCCCAGTGCCTCACACATGCTAGGCAAGTGCTCTACTACTGAGCCACAACTCCCACCTGGGAAAGATTTTTTAAGGCAGTGAATGCCAGACATTGCTTCAGTCAGTAACTTTAAAAAATAATATTTTTATATTTAAATAATAAATGTCAAAAGAATTTTTAAAAATTACCCTAACTCCCATTGAGGATTTTATACTTTACAAATACATCCATGAAGACTTGTTTTTATAAATATTTTAATAAAATTACAAGTCCTCAAATGTAAAGCTACTGGAATTCAACTTGTTAAATTTAGTCAATTCATATTAAGGAAATGAATTATTTTTGGTCTTCAAGTATAAGAAAGCACCATTTAGGGGTGAGGTTGTGGCTCAGTGGTAGAGTGCTTTTCTAGCATGTGTGAGGCACTAGGTTCGATCCTTAGCACCACGTAAAAATAAACAAAGGTATTGTGTCCATCTATAACTAAACATTTTTTAAAAAGCACCATTTTAAAATTTGATCATAATGGTTTATATGCTCACTTTAGTAAATACTGATAAATAAGGGAAACAATGCTTTCTTTTACCACCTATAGCAAGCTCCTGTTAACGGAACACTATATGTATACCTTGTTATTTTTTCAGAATTTTCTTTTCACTACATATTATGTGCATTGTTTTAAACACTTTAACATTATAAACATTTTTACATAGTTTTTAAAAAACAGGCTTTTGTTAGAGAAGTTTTGAGTTCACGGCAAAATTTAGTGGAAATACTGAATACCCACAGAAGCACATCCTTCCCCACTACTAACATCCATACCAAGTAGCACATTTGTTATAATTGATGTCACCCAAAGTCCATAGTTTATACATTAGAGTTCACTCTTGATCCTGTACATCCTATGGTTTAGATATTAGACATTTAATGACATTTATCCACTATTTATACTATCACACAAAATAGTTTCACTGCTTCCAAAATCCTCTATGCTTTTTATTTATCCCCCCTCTTCTCCCATCCCCTGAAACCACTAATCTTTTTATTATCTCCATAGTTTTGCATTTTCTAAAATGTCACATATTTGGAAGTATACAGTGTTTAACCTTGCAGGTTCCATGCTTATTTTTCATAAATATTTGAAATGACTGCAGTTGTTACATTGAGTAAATCTGTAGTTATTTTTAAACAGTTTCCTATTGGACACAGGATTGGTTGTAAGTTTTCACTGTACTGAATATCACTATGTGTAAAGATAAAGCTTTATCTTTAGACACTGGTATCAAGTTACTTTTGAAAATATAAATAAGAATATACTTATAAAGACATAAATATTTATATTAAAGTTATTTGTATGAATTTTTCTCTATATTTAAAGTTAATTATTTCTCTAGAAGGAAAATATTGGTTAAAAGAATAGAAATATTATCATTATTGTCTTTAATAATATATATTACAGTTTCCTATTGCCTGCTTACTTTTTTTTTTTTTTTGGTGGGGGGGCACTCAACCACTGAGCTACATCCCCAGCCCTGTTTTGTATTATATTTAGAGATAGAGTCTCAAGGAGTTGCTTAGCAACTAGTTTTTGCTGAGGCTAGCTTTGAACTGGAAATCCTCTTTTCTCAGCCTCCTGAGCGCTGGGATTACAGTCATGCACCATGGCACTGGGCAAAGCCTTGGTTTTAACCCCTAGCACCAAAAAAATTAGCGAGCAGCCAGGTACGGTGGCTCACACCTGTATTCTCAGCAGCTCAGGAGGCTGAGACAGGAGGATTTTGAGATCAAAGCCAGCCTCAGCAAAAGCTAGTTGCCAAGCCAGCCTCAGCAACTTAGCAAGACCATAAGCAAATTAGTAGGATCCTGTTTAAAAAAAAATTTTAAAAGGGCTAGGGATGTAGCTCAGTGGTGAAGCACCTCTGGATGCAATCCCCAGTTACCTGCCCCATCCCAAAAAGAATAAAAAACTCTTAAAATTCAACAATAAGGAAATGAATCTATTTTTAAATAGGCAAAAATCTGAACAGACACTTTGCTAAAGAAGATATACAGATGGTAAATAAGTACAGGAAAATATCCCCCAAATCACTAGTCATCAGGAACTGCAAATTATAATTGAAATAGATTCTATTACATGTGTAATATAGCTAAAATAAGAAAAAAGTGATATCAAATGTTGGTGAAGATTCAGAATTAAAATTTCTATACATTACTGGGTGCAAGTACAAAGTGATATGGTCACTTTGGAAAATAGGCAGTTTTTTTTTTTTTAATCAAGTTGTGTATGTCCTGAGCATAGGACCCAGCAATCCCACTCCAACATATTTACTCAAGAGAAACAAAAACTTTTGTTCATACAAAAACCTATTCGGGGAGAATATTTGTAACGGCTTTATTCATAAACAGAAACTAGAAACAATCCTAGTATCCTTCAATGGTGAATAGATAAACAAGTACATTCATACAATGGAATACCTATTCAACAACAAAAAGGAATGAATCACTGATGCACACAACATGAGAAAACCTCAAATACATTTTTCTAATATGGAAGATGCCAGATCCGAAAAGGTAATCCTGAATGATTCCATTTTAATGGATATTTTAGAAAATGCAAAACTATAAAGATGGAGATCAGTCATTGTCAGTAGTTGGGAGAAGGAGGAGGGTATGACTGCAGTGGGCAGCAAGGAAACTGGGGGAGGGGAAATTATAGAATTGCTTCTATTTTGATTGTAGTGGAAGCTACATGATTGTATTCATGTCTTAAGATTCATTAAATTATATATCAAAGAAAAAAAAAGCTAGTTGCCAAGCAACTCAGTGAGACCCTATCTCTAAATCAAATACAAAATAGGGCTGGGGATGTGGCTCAGTGGTTGAATGCCCCTGGGTTCAGTCCTCAGTGCCCAAAACAAGCAAACAAATAAACAATAACAAAAAAATAAAACCAGGGCCTTGCACATGCTAAACATGAACTCTACACTGAGCTACACCCTCAGCCACTCCTGCTTGCATATTATAAGATTTATTTTAAGAGGAAAAAGTTCCCATTTTGCTGTACCCTTACCATTATTAGTCATTGTAATTATCATTAATTAGTTATATTTATATAAAATTATATTTATACAATAAATTTTCTGGTTTGCTAGATTAAATTTTAATTAGAATTTATTTGATTATTAATGAGCTTAAATATTTTTCTGTATGATTGTTAGGTATTTTTCTTTTTCCTTGAATTATCTGTAGTGGATGTTTTTCTACTGAAATGTTGAGAAAAGGTCTATATTAAATATAAATACTATAGACTTCTTATAGGTGATAGAAGTAATTAAATTATTAATTTGCCTATGTAAATATAGGTTTTTTTCACTCATTTTTCAAAGAAGCAAACTTTTATTTCATTCTTAACATAAGACAAAATACATTTTACTTTTGAGATAACTTTTTTCAATCATATCTTTTTAAGGAGCTCCCGTCTTACCTTGGTAAACTGGACGTCCCATTTCAAAGAGGTAATATTTCTCATTTATCACTTAAACAGTGACATTAAAGTATATTTATTTATGCTGAGAAGCCCATCTGTGTCCTTTTATCATAGTTATCTTCTTGTTAAAAGTACTGTCCTGTAAGCTTATTCTCTCAGAACTACAAATATGCGACCTTGATAGGTCATCTGATCCAAAGATGATTAGGCCCAACCATTTAACTAGGTCTCTTTATTTAAATTTACATAAAATTAATTCAAGCTGGGCTGGGGATGTGGCTCAAGCGGTATCGCAGTCGCCTGGCATGCGTGCGGCCCGGGCTCAATCCTCAGCACCACATACAAAGATGTTGTGCCCGCCGAAAACTAAAAAATAAATATTAAAAAAATTCTCTCACACACACACTCTCTCTCTCCCTCTCTTTAAAAAAAAATCATTAATTCAAGCTGGAATACTAATTGTAGGAAACTTGAATATTATTGGGAATATTTTGCACTTCTAAAGCTTCGATTCTAGAATATTGCCATAACTTATAGTAGTCATCCATCATGAAAAGAATAAAGAATAAGAAAAAAGAAGTAGAAAGGACCTCTCTTGCAGATCTTTCTGGTTCTTTAACTGTTGATTCTGTCATTCAGCTGTGCCATATTTTAAATGATTGAAAAGACTTTTATTACTCAAACTATTTCCTAGCAATTTAATGGTTTTCTTTCATTAGAGGGAGTATTTCTCCCAAAGAAAAGTGTCTCCTTGCCTAATTTATTAGTTACTGCACGTTAGAGTGGAAAATACACCACTTAGAGATATAAGCACTAAGCAGGTGTAGCCTACCAATATCACAAGTTGGCTTCCCATTTTGAGTGATTCAAATATATAAGTCAATAAAACTACAAGAGGCTGCATGTTATATACCTTGGTATGGTTTGCATATTGTTGAATCCTTGTGAAAATATCAAGAATCTATTTTTATAACTTTTGCAATTTATAATTTTGATTTTTCATTGATACATAACAATTGTACATATTTGTGGGATACAGTGTTATGTTTCAGTACATTATGTGTATTATGTAATGATCAATCAGGGTAATTAGCATATTTGTCATCTCAGACATTTATCTTTTTTATGTGGTGGAAACATTTAATATCCTCTCTTCTGGCTATTTTTGAAATAGACAATACCCCAATGTTAACTATAGTTACCCTACTGAGTAATAGAACACTAGAACTTGTTCTCTTATAACTGTAACTTTGAATCAATTGGCTAGCCTTTCTTCTCCTTTCCCCAGCCTCTGGTAACCATTATTTTGTTGGCTACTTGTACTAAATCAACATTTTTAGACTCATTACATATGAGGAAAATTGTATAATATTTGTTTTTCTGTGTCTGGCTTATTTTATTTAGGATAATGTCTTCCAGGTTCTTCCATCTTGTTGTAAATGACAGAACAGTATTATTATGTTGTATATATGTACATATACACCATGTTTTCTTTATCTATTCATCCATCATTGGACAATTAGGTTGATTCTATATCTTGGTTACTGTGAATAGTATCAGTAAACTTGGGAATCCAGATATCTCTTTCACATACTGATGTTGTTTCCTTTGAATATATACTAAGTGATGGGATTGCTGCATCATTTAATAGGAAAATTTAAAAATTTTTAGGAACCTCCATACTGTTTTCCATAATGGCTATACTTCATTCTCACCAACAGTGTGCAAGATTCCTTTTTCTCTACATCCTCGACAGTACTTGTTTTCTTTTGTCCTTTTGATACTAGCTATCTTATATGGAGTGAGGCAATATCTCATTGTGGCTTAGACTTGCACTGCCCTGATGATTAGTGATTATTTTTTCATACTTATTGGTTATTTGTATATCTTCTTTTGGAAAATGCCTACTAAGTTTTTTGCCCATTTTAAAATCAGATTAGTTGTTTTTGAGTTTTGGTTTGTTTTGCTTTACTATTCTGGATATAAAATATAACAATATAAACACAAAATATCTCTTGGCAAATGTATATCTGCAAGTATTTTTTTCCATTCTATAGGTTGTATCTTCCCTCTGTTGTTTCTTTTGTTGTGATTGGATCTATTGATATTAATTTTTTAAAAGAACAGTAACTACTTCCTAAATTTAAAATTGGCTAGTATAGGACTATGCTTATGGCTTAGTGATTGAGTGCTTGCCTAGAATGCTCAAGGTCCCTGTTTTGAGAGAGAGAGAGAGAGAGAGAGGTTTATTTATTTTTTATTTTTTTGTTACTGAGGATTGAACTCAGGGGTACTTGACCACTGAGCCACATCCCCAGTCCTATTTTGTATTTTATTTAGAGACAGGGTCTCACTGAGTTGCTTAGTGCCTTGCTTTTGCTGAGGCTGGCTTTGAACTCAAGATTTTCCTGTCTCAGCCTCCTAAACTGCTGAGATTATAGGCGTGCACCACCGCACCCATCTAAAGTTATCTATTTTTAAGGAATGTTTAAATCTGAGATGTTTATTTAATTTTGTCTTCCAGGTAAGTAACATTAAATTATATTTGTTTGAGGAAACACATTTTCATTCTCGTAGTTTATAATCCTAATATATAGGATTATATTTCCCATGCTATGTGGCTAGGATTACCGGCATGCACTAGTGAGCTCAGCAAAGCAGATTGGGGCAGAGAGATTAGGTATCTGAATGACAATCTGAAGTATGGGCTTTCTTTTGTTTAGGCTTAGAAAGTCACTGAAGATTATTAAGCAGCAAAAGAGTCTTTTTTTTTTTTTTTCTTGGTAGTGGGGATCAAACCCAGGGCTTTCCATATGCTAGACCATTGCTCTTCAACTGAGCTACATCCTCAGTCCCTTTTTTCTGATTTTCATATCTCCTTCATAAAGTAATAAAACTTTTGAATGTGAAGAGAACTTTGAGACCATCTAATGCTGCTTTCCATTAGAGATTAAAAACTAAAGTCTAAAGATGTGAATTAACTTGATCAAGTTCATACAACAAGTAAATGATAGAGCTAGAATTTGAAATAAATTTCCTCTTTACCAGCCAGTGTTCAGGTATACCAGATTGCCTCTCCATCAGATGTTTCCTCAAATGCTATATTAACATGCCAGGTACTCTCAGGTTTCAGACAACTGTAAAGAATAATAAACTTTCATTCATATTCCATTCAACTCTTATCATAATTGACTTTGGACAATGACTCAAACGTGAAGTTCACTGCATTTGAAACAGAATACTGTAAATATTTGATTCAGAGTAGTCAGAAGATTGTTCCTTTTTTTTTATCATATTCTCCTCAGAACTCTTATTTAGTTTTCTTTAGATATTGGAGAGACTGCCTGAGGAATATAAATTTCAAAATTTTTGCTCTCTTTGTGGTTCACAACTTTACTGGAGAGTACTTGTTTTTGTTTTTCAATTAAAGGAATTTATTACTAGAACTTTCTGTTTGCCATATTTATACACACTTTCTGTTCCTACCCAATTACCAAACCTATTCAGATGATTTTTAGTGTGTCAGAGCCACTTGGTGTTCATTCATCTCTTAAATCTCTTACCAAATTCTGACTTATCAAGTAATTATTTTTTTTAAAGGGATTCTTCAATGTGTCACAGGCTATATAAAAAGGATCATAAAAAAGTGTTAACCAAAGCGTTATCATCTATCCAACTTTCTTTATTTTATTTTATTGTTACTGGGATTGAACCAAAGGTGCTTAACCACTAAGCCACAGCCCAGCATTTTTTATATTTTATTTTGAAATAGGGCCTTGCTAAGTTGCTGAGGCTAGGTTTGAACTGACAATCCTCCTGCCTTGACCTCCCAAGCTGCTGGGAGGGCAGGTGTCCACCACCTCACCCAACTCATCCTACTTACTTTATAGTGGCCCTTTTTTGTTGTTGTTTTCATTAAAAATTCATAATTTGGATAATCTAGAGTTGACTATGATTATAGACAGTTTAAAAGTTCTAGCATGCTGTAGGACCCACATCATTCATTGTCATTCAACACACCTATTGCATGCTACTTTTTTTTTTTAAGAGAGAGAGAAAATTTTAATATTTATTTTTTAGTTATCGGCAGACACAACATCTTTGTTTGTATGTGGTGCTGAGGATC